GATTTGAACCCGCCACCTTAGGTGTACGTGGCTGGCGCCTTAGCCGGTTGAGCTATAGGCGCCGAGCCTGTAGTTGTCATTGTTGTATGGTGGGCCCAGGCTGGATTCGAACCCGCCAGCTCTGGTGTATGTGGCTGGCGCCCTAGCTGCTGGAGCTATAGGTGCCGAGCCACATGAAACTATTCTTATAAGCATTTTCCTATATCTCCTCCTCATGCAGATGGTAAGGTCTTATTTGAAAAAGCAACAGATATGCGCCTTGAGATACTCAAGGACCTGGGGATATAGCAGGAGAAGGCAGGAATCTGCGCAGGGATGAGCTGAGGGCAAACCTGGGCCATGCCCATAGGCCCCGTGCCTTCACCTCACTCCCTACAGAGCCTATTCAGCTGGGGCCTGGAGTGTGCGTTCTGCTTGGGGCTTTAGGCTTCAGCCCAGGGCCCTGACAAGGAGCCGGGGTCCTTGAAGAGAGTGTAGTGTAGTATAGAGTGGGTTTTCAGGGCGCCCCTCTCTTGTTTGTCCACTCATGGAGAATCTACAAGCCTCCCTGTGCTTTCTCCATCCTCAAGGTGGACCTCTGGCTGTCCTGTCATTACAGTTACTCAACATGGATGCAGAGGATGCAAGCCATGTATTTTAATATAAGCCATCTTTTACCCTCTAGTATTTACATAGATAAATTAGAACAAATGCCATCATGTGAAAATCATCTTTTGAAGAATTTAAGCTTTAGAATTAGATTGGACCTAAGATTCTTGCAGTCTGGCTGTCTTCCCATGTGTAAGAATGGGAATCTCTGTTTGTATCTGGCATTCTCTGATTCTCGATAGGTTACTTGCTTTTTACTATCTTGAGTAGTTAATTAATAGTTAATATTTGCCTAGCTATTTTCCATTTAATAAGCACTGTAACAAATATAGTCTGTTTACTATATAACCTTATAAAATAAATACTACATCTCCATTTTGCAGAGTAGGAAGGAAAGCCTCAGCTCCTGTCTCTGCATGATAATCTCAATTCATTTTAAAAATCCAGTCAATACACCTTTACTGAGCACCTACTATGTGCCTGAAACTAGGTACTAAGGACATTAGGGAGCTAATTTGGTAAGGGAAACCAGCAAGGAAATCAGCAGTTATAATGGCTATTGTGGTATAGGATGGAGAAGGTTCACCTTAGGTCACCAGACCCAGGGATCAAGAAAGATGTCCTGGAAGAGGTGAAGCTGTGATGCCCAGTAGGGCTTCGTCAGGGTAGAGTGTATGTGTAGGTGAGTGGGTGTTTTCAGAGTATGTCTGACAAAGCAGCAAAATGGGTGTTTATCCACAGGTGGGAGGAGTGAATGTCTGCAGGGTTTGGCTGGAGGTGAACCGTGAGCAATAGGCAGGGGCTGGGCCAGAGGGCTGTGGGCCAAGTGAGGAGGTAGGAGCTTTATCCTGAAGGCCACAGATGATGTTTGTGGTTTGATAGTTCCTCTGTCCCTAATCCAGGGTTTGTTTCCAGGCAGCCCTGTGGGTTTTACCCTCAACTTCAAGCAGGAAAGCCTTTCCTTAATCTCGAGATGAGCCTGGCCAGGGTAGACTGGCCCTGCTTGCTGAGTGAGGGGGATGTGGCTGCTAGATACCCTTTGCCCACCTTCTCCTCGGAGTCCTCAGAGCCCCACAGCCTGGTTATTGAGCTCTTGCTGAATGCAGGCTGGGCTTCAACCTGACACTGCTTCTTTTTTTTTTTTTTTTTTTGAGACAGAGCCTCAAGCTGTCCCCCTGGGTAGAGTGCCGTGGCATTATAGCTCACAGCAACCTCCAACTCCTG